GTCTCACCCACTGTCCCTCCAAGAGCACTACAAGAACCGACACAGGGTCGCAGCGCCGAGCACTGCTCTACCCAGCCATGCTCTGTTCTGCTCCTTACCAATGTCGTGAGGGAAATATCTTCATCTCAGTTAACACTTCACTGTTCACTTCCTGGAGATCACAGAGAAGGTATAAAAATCAAAGACAAGGTTTTACTTTTGGAAGTAAAAGTTTGATTGGTTATTTTTGAGTCAGAGTCTCACTCTGTCACCCAGGCTGGAGTACAGTAGCACAATCACGGCTCACCGCAGCCTTGACCTCCTGGCCTCAAGCGATCCTCTCATCTCAGCCTCCTCAGTAGCAGGGACTACAGGTACATGCCACCACTCCTGCCTAATTTGTTTAAATTTTTGTAGAAATGAGGTCTTGTGCCGGGCTTGGTGGCTCAGCCTGTAATCCCGCACCTTGGGAGGCTGAGGTGAGTGGATTGCCTGAGCCCGCGCGTTCAAGACCCGCCTAGGCAACTTGGTGAGACCTCATCTCTACAATAAACCAAAAAACTGGCCGGGTATGGTAGCGTGCGCCTGTAGTTGCAGCTACTTGGAAGGCTGAGGTGGAAGGATTGCTGGAGCCCAGCAGGTCGAGGCTGCGGTGGCCAGGAGAGGCCACTGCACTCCAGTCTGGGTGACAGAGAGACTCCAACACAAAAAAAAAAAAAAAAAAAAAAGAAATGAGGTCTTGCTATGTTGCCCAGGCTGGTCTCGAACTCCTGTACTCAAGCAATCCTCTAGCCTTGGCCTCCCAAAGTGTTGAAGTTACAGACATGAGCTACCACACCCAGTCAAAAGATGTATTTAAATTCTAGTGGGATCAACACAATATACAATGAAAAATGTAAATTCACACCAATGCATGACTTAATTTTTATTTTAGGAATATCAGTGCTGAGAGGTACAGAGTTAAGGAAAGATTCCTTAAAGATGCACATTTTAATTCCTCAGGGAACTGTATTTTATCAAGAAATCCAAAGTGTCTGAGAAGCAGTAGCCAATTAACTACTTAAAAGTCAATCTTCAAAGCCGGGCTCGGTGGCTCAGCCTGTAATCCTGCACCTTTGGGAGGCTGAGGTGAGTGGATTGCCTGAGCCCGCGGGTTTGAGACCCGCCTGGGCAGCAAGACCTCATCTCTACAATAAATCAAAAAATCAGCCGGGTGTGGTAGCGCATACCTGTAATTCCAGCTACTTGGAAGGCTGAGGCGGAAGGATCGCCAAAGCCCAGCAGGTCGAGGCTGCGGTGGCCGGGAGCGGCCACTGCACTCCAGTCTGGGCGACAGAGTGAGACTCCAACTCAAAAAAAAAAAAAAAAAAAAATGTCAATCTTCATTACAAATGAACCCCTACAAAGTTCACTGCAATGAACTTCTGGGAGTTTATCTCAATTATTGTCTTATAATAAGGTGTCATTTAAAACTTAAGTTTATTTTAGATCTCTAAATGAATATATACCATACACATACATATATGTATGTATGTTCTTGTTGCTTCCAATATTAATAGAATGATTTAACAGTCTCTAATCATGTAAGCTAGTTCCAAATTACCCTCAGTGGCCATTAAAATTAGTCCTCTCCTTATCACCAGCTAATTCAGCACAGCCTACATCAGCAATGTGGAGTGTGAACCGTCCATAGCATGACGATACTCAGCTTGAGAGCATTCTGGTTTTCTGATACTCACATTCCGTCTTAAACTATAAGCAAATCTGGAATGCTGCCCTATGGTAAGAGAAGAGTAAACATTTCAAGAGTGTGGTGGCTTCACATGGAAACTGTTACCAAGACAAACCTTCTTACAGGATGGTGTGCCAAGAACATTAAATCATAAGAAACGCCTTCAGCAGCTGGGTAGAGCTGAGTGTGCATATCACAAGATATCTGGTTGGCTGTGCATTTTCAGTTCACTTAAAAGGTATAAACACATCAAAACATGGAAATGTTTGCTGTAGGACAACATGGTCTGCTGGCTCCTCAAGAGTATTCACATGGCTGTTCCAGTCACTGTGTTCATGGCTTAATTACTATCTAAAGATATTTACTATTCCCGCCCTCTTCAAGGTCACCAAAATATTTTTGATAAAGGCAGAAAAAATGTACTCATTTACGATATTACTAAATTGCTGATATTTGGTAATAAAATATACATAACTAGAGGTGATGCTATTTGTAAATTAAATTAGGAACATTTCAAACCCCACATACCATGACAAGGAAATAGTATATCATGTATATGTCCCCTCCCTCATGTGAGCACACGTAAAAGAAATCTAACCACAATGACTTAACCAAGATAGGTGCTCATTTTTCCCAAATCTGAAGACATGAAATCCAGGGCTGGTGTACCCATTTCATATGCCAGCAACACGCCATGCTCTCAGGACACTATTCTTTGCATGGGACACTCATTATCATCGTTTCAGGATGGCCTGAGTGATGTCTCCACTCTCCAAGAAGGAAAAAGAGAGGATGATGAGCACAAGGCAGGAGGGAACATGCTCTGCAAGCTCATGACATCTGTTGACCACATACTGGACCACCCAAATGTCATGTGGCCACATGTTCTGACACTGGCCTGGTGTCTGAAAACTAAGCTGGGTACACATTGCCACTCCAAGCAATCTTGAGTTCCATTGGAAGGAAGAGGGAAAGGATGCCAGGGATGCAAGGAGCTGCATCTGGGATGGGAGATGGTGCCCTGTGCCCTTCTGCATGAGATGACTCCTTGGCCATCTCAGTCCTGTATTTGGGCTGCACACCTCCAGAACCAAGCACCGCATGATGTGCATGCTACATTCAGTACAATCGAGGCCAGGAGCCCATCTTCTCACAAATACTTGTCTTTCCTTTGTGGGCCATGGGCAAACAGCATAGATTCAACCATCTCCCCATGTAGAATGAGATCCTATAATGACACATCTTGCAATCTACATCTTTATTTCAAAATTAATTCATTTTAAATATGCCTTTCAACAGGGGATGAAAATTGGTTCCTCAGGGAGAAAAAGAACTTCATAGATATTATAATGGCTTATGGCCTTTCAAAGGTTGATAGTAAGTACATAACATATTCAGGGTGTCTGGGGTATTCGAACTTCACTGGTGAAGTAGCAATTATGAAAGAAATGTCTAATGAAAGAAATGTCTTCTCAGGGAGACAACAATTCTTTTCAAGGTTGAGAATCATTGCTTTAAATGTAACAAACGAAGCCAGGTGTGGTGGCCCTCGCCTGCAGCTCCAGCTCCTTGGAAAGCTGAGGCAGAAGGATTGCCTGAGCCCAGCAGGTCGAGGCTGCGATGGCCATTAGCGTGCCACTGCACTTCAGCCTGGGCGACAAAGTAAGACTCCAACTCAAAAAAAAATAAATCGGCTGGACTTGGTGGCTTAGTCTGTAATCCCAGTACTTTGGGAGGCCAAGGCAAGTGGATTGCCTGAGTCCGTGAGTTCGAGACCAGCCCAGGCAACTTGGCGAAACCTCGTCTCTACAATAAATCAAAAACTAGCTGGGCATGGTAGCATGTGCCTGTAGTTCTGGCTACTTGGAAGGCTGAGGTGGAAGGATCGCCTGAGCCCAGCAGGTCGATGCTGGGGTGGCCATGAGTGTGCCACTGCACTCCAACCTAGGTGACAGAGTGAGACTCCAACTCAAAATAAAATAAAATAACATCTGCCTGGGGAAGGAGGGGCACACCTCATCAACAAAGGAACCCACATAATGAATATTTTTATACCTAACCCCGAACTGTACCCCATATCTTTAAAATTAAAAAAAAGAAAAAAAGAATAAAAAATAACATAACAAAATAAAATAGATAAATAAAAGTAATAAACGAGATGAGCATTTTGAGTCACATAGGAATTGCAGTGAGCTTCAGTGACAGAAACCCAGTTATAGTAGTGTAAACAAATAAGGGTCTATTTCTGTTACATGAGAAGCCCAGGGTGAGGGAGGAGGGCTGGTAGTTGTTGACTTTGGTTCAGCAGCTCAATGACATCAAAGCAGGATTTTCTGTAAGTCTCTTAGTTCAGGGTACCAAGATGGTCTTACAATTCAAAAGATCTTGTCGGCCGGATGAGGTGGCTCAAGCCTGTAATCCCAGCCCTTTGGGAGGCCGAGAAAGAGGATTGCCTAAGCCCAGAGGACTGAAACCAGTCTAGGCAACTTGGCAAGATCTCATTTCTACAATAAATCAAAAATTAGCTGGGCGTGGTAGCACGTGCCTGTGGTTCTAGCTATTTGGAAGGTTGAAGTGGAGGAAAGGATCGCCTGAGCCCAGCAGGTTGAGGCTGAAGTGGCCGTGAGGGTGCCACTGTACTCCAGCCTGGGCAACAGAGTGAGACTGCAACTCAACAACAAACAAACAAACAAAAACCTTGTCCACATTCCAGAAGCAGGAAAAAAGACCGCCGAGAACTAAAAGATATGCCTCCTAGCTGAGGCAGTCCCCCTAATGAGTTTTACCCAGAAGTCTCATTGGAGGACTTTCCCTATATCCCACTGGCCACACCTAGCTTCAGAGAAGGCTGAAAATGGAAGTCTGACCTCTCCTGAAGAGGCCAGAAATAAAATCAGAAGTAAGAAAGGGAGAACAAACACCGGGTGTTTAATTAGCCATGACTGCTACACACAAACTGGATCCAAATTGCTTCTCAGACTCCTGCTTCCAGAGATCTACAAGCCCTCTTATCACAGATTAACTGAATTGGGTGTCTACTTCATGCTTAATGTTGCTAAAGAGCTTGGTTATTTTCCCCTTCACAACGTAACATTTTTTCCTGATGAAGAACAGGGTCTAAATATTATTAGGCAAGAGAGAGAAAAAGAACTCCATGGACAGATATATAATCCTTTAAAGGCACACATACAAAGTACTACATCAAGACCCACAAACTCATCAACATGATCAACTATTATCATTAATATACAAAGAAGATAAAACAAGTCCTGCTTTAGCAAGAACTTACAAGAGTGGAATATCAGTGATTAACTGCATCAAACAGCAGAGCAATTCTTCCAAAAGATCCTCTGAGTCAGAACCTGGTAAAACACACAAAAAAACTTTTTAACACAGCATACAATAGAATGAAGTTGTTCAGAAGTTATGTTTTCATTTCTTATAGGAATAAGAGTAGTTATCTTTACACAAATAAACACACTGATGTTGACCTCAAAGTAAAATCCAAACTCTTAGCAAGTCAGCATGTATTATGATCTTCATCTAGCATAAAGCCTTCTAATACTAGCTATAATAATCAAGGCTTTAGACCAGTTGCAGTGGCTCACGACTGTAATGTCAACACTATGGGAAGTTGAGGCAGGAAGACTGCTTGAGCCCAGGAGTTTGAGACCAGCCTAGACAACATAGCGAGACCTCACTAAAAAAATTAGCCAGGTGTGGTGGTGAGCACCTGCAGCCCCAGCTCCTCAGGAGGCTGAAGTGGAAGGATCACCTAAGCCCATGAGGCTCAAGCCGTGGTGAACCATGATTGTGCCACTGCACTCCAGCCTGGGAGACAGAGTGAGACCTTGCCTCAAAAGTAATAATAATAGTGATAATAATGATAATAATAATGATAATGATAATAAAAGGTACTTAAGGCTCCTGCAGGCCAGTAGTTTTCACATGTCTTATACTGTACTATGCTTCTTTCAATGAAATCCTATATTAAAGTCAAATATATAAAATAGATAAAAGTCAAGATGGTCTAGCTGCTTTGTTTGAAGCAGGGGTAGGTAGAGGACCTGTATCCCTCCCCCATAAATATGTGACTTTAACTTTGATCTTCTTGATAGTGCTCAAGATACTTTTATGAACCCCTGGAGCTACACAGATCACAGACTGAAATCCACTGAAGAGTCCAACCTCTTCTTTACGGACCATGAGCCAAAGGTAAAATGGTTTTCCCAAGTCACAGAATAAATAGGTAGCAAAGGTAAGGATGCAAATTACCATTCCAATGAAAATGTTCGTCTATCCCAAAATGCTATAGCTAAGTGACCCCCAAATGTCCAAAGCCATTCAATATCACATGTGGCTTCTGGTTTTGAACATTATTGATACCTACTCCTTTGTGAAATTCTTTCTCTTCTCAGTTCCTATAAAATCTTATTTCTACCCAGCTTCTTCTTCTGTTCTCTCAGTACCTGCTTCTTCAGAATGCCTGCCAGCTAGCAGTGTGTTCCACGGATGCTGATGGGCTGTCCTGTCTGCTCAGCCCTGTGGCCTCATTAGTCGCGATGTATATGCTGGTGACTCCCAACTCTGCAGTTTCCTCTTCTCCTCCCCACTGACTCACTCTCCATCCGACTGCTGCTGGCTATTTACATCACCTTGCACCCAACATGCTTGAAACGGAACTCACTTTTCCTTATACGCTGCAAGCACACATTTCTTCCATATTCTTCTTCTGGTGACTGCATCAGCAACCCAAGGTCAAAGCCCAGGCCACATCCTCCTACTCATCCTTCTACAACCAGTGGATCTCTGGGTCCTCTCAGTAACACATCCACATCTCTGACACTTGTTTTGCTTCGCTCCCTCTGCTGTGCTTTTGTTTGTTATCTCATCATCACAGTTCATTTAAACAAGTGTACTACATTGAAAGTCCCCTTTAAACTTTCCTAACCTCCAGTTTTACTCCTCTCCAATCCAAACTCCAGACTGCATTAGCAGGAGCTACCTAAGCCTCCTGGCTTAGATATTCTCAACCACTGTAAGCTGTTACTTTACATCAGAAAAAGTGCCCAAGCTCCAAAGCACAAGCATGCCAGACCCTTGAAGATACAGGCCCTATATCCCTTTCTGCCTTCATGTCCCCCCACAATGCATGTTCCAGCAGCAGCAAACTACCTGCGACATGCCATTGTATGCCTCTGCAATGTTGCCCTGCTTGGAATACTCCAACAGTGAAGACTTAATTTTTTAGAAGCCTACCTTTATCCACCTAAACTGTCCTCAGTCTTCGTCTCCTCCATAAAACCTACTCTTTGAGCACGGCTTTGGCTGCACTATACCATCATTTTCTGTCCACAAGCAGGCAGACCCTTCTTACACCCCATACTTCTTGAGAGCAATGACTCACAAAAAGCTTGCACATAACATATACTCAATACAGTTTGCTGAATGGAACCCAAGTGTCTAAGGACAAATCCAGACATTATTTCCAAAGCACCTGGAATCTCACAGCAAAGTTTAGCAATTTATTGTCTAGACCACAGTATCACATGGTACTCAGAGATTATAAAGAAATCCCTTCCTGCCTTGACACACTAGAACTGGCACAGTCACTCTCAAAGAGGTAAGTACCAAACTTGAAAAGAATATTAAGTCACATTGAACACACTGATCAATGCTACAGTGTGTTCAATGTGACTTAATAAGGATATACAGCAAGACCCAAATTCAACAACCGCATTAAGTCTCACTCCAAGAAACATCATGCTTGGCTCGCTAGTGAATAAATAAAATAAGAGAATAAGTACCATCTGTCTTTGAGGTTGCAGGATAGGGAGCAGATCTAAAATCCTTCTCATTACCAAGGCTGTCCACCTTAACCCAGGTGAGGCACCGAGTCATTCCAAGTTGATGTGTTGGTGCATAATATATAACCAACACACATTTGCCGAACCGTCATCCTTCTACAGAAGGTAGCGCTCCAGACCCAAGTAAGAATACTTAAAATCACTCATTGGTTCCACAAAGAACATTTCAGACCAATTGCCAGTTTAATGACATCCCCCATTCAGGCAAGCAGCCAGCACAGCTCTGTAATTACAGAAGGTGAGTGGACAGGCACTCAGGAACCACCGATGGCACCTGGCTGGATTTTTTTACTTCCAGGGGTATAAACACACCGAAGTTTTAAATCTTAAAATGGTGGCGAGGATTCTCTACTTGGTTCCATGTGCCATCCAAATCATGGCCTCTGCCAAGTTTACAGCAAGGTCAATTAAGATGTACATTCATAGCTTTGTTGTCAATTTTGCATAATGATGAAGATGATGATAAATACATTTCACACAAAGCTCTAACAAAAGACAAGAACACACAATTTCCAGCTGAAATCTCTGAAGTCTTCCATTCACTGAAAGAAGTCCTCAGATTTCTATATTCTTGTTCTGTACTAATCTAGAAGTAAATTAATTGTATTTTAAGTGAAGAGTGGTGAGACTGGACGGCTTACCAAGTCTAACATTAAGCGAGTCACCACTCATATTGCATTATTTTCCACCCTGGCTTTCATAGAAGACCAAATACTTCCTCAGTACCAATAAAAACAAATAAATATAAACTCACTTACCAGAAATTACAGCAACACATTCAGGCATTTCATACAGTAAGGAGAATCTTAAAACTCCTTGAAATGTGCAGGTCCATGACAAAGTAAATTGAGGTTCTCTGAGCAAAGGACTTTGTAGAGATTCAGTGTGTTTACTGTATTGTTAAGATTTATACCCTAGAGTTTCTCTGTCTTTAAAAGAGAACATTTCAGGCCGGGCTTGGTGGCTTAGCCTGTAATCCCAGCACTTTGGGAGGGTGAGACGAGTGGATTGCCCGAGCCCGTGGGTTCAAGACCAGCCGAAGCAATTTGGCGAGACCTCGTCTCTACAATAAAATGAAATAAAAAATTAGCTGGGCATGATAGTGCATGCCTGTAGTTCTGGCTACTTGGAAGGCTGAGGTGGCAGGATTGCTGGAGCCCAGCAGGTAGACGCTGGGGTGGCCACGAGTATGCCACGGCACTCCAGCCTGGGCAATAGAGTGAGACTCAAAAAAAAATAAAATAAAATAAATAAATAAGAGAGAACATTTCTCTCTTAAGAGATCTGTCTTACTGCCGGGCATGGTGGTGCACACTTGGGAGTCTGAGGCAGGAGGATCCCTTGAGCCTGGGAGTTCAAGGCCAGCCTGGGCAACACAAGGAGACCCGGGGGTGTGGGGGGAATTCTCTCTTAAAAGAGTTTTTGCTGGGCTCAGTGGCTCAGCCTGTAATCCCGCGCTTTTGGGAGGCTGAGGTGAGTGGACTGCCTGAGCCCGTGGGTTAAAGACCTGCCTGGGCAGCGAGACCTCATCTCTACAATAAATCAAAAAATCAGCTGGGTGTGGTAGCACGTGCCTGTAATTCCGGCTACTCAGAAGGCTGAGGTGGAAGGATCGCCAGAGCCCAGCAGGTCGAGGCTGCGGTGGCCAAGAGCAGCCACTGCACTCCAGTCTGGGCGACAAAGTGAGACTCCAACTCAAAAAAAAAAGAGTTTTTAATTACCTCGATAGCTCCAGTCAGATATTTTGATATTTCAAATCCTAGCTTCTGTGAGATAATATTAACAGCAACCACTGACTGAGCACTTTCCCCTTTGAGAAGCATTGTGGTGAGCACTTCTTACCCTACCCTGTTAATCCTGACAATCACTGTTAAGGACTAGTTATGATTATAGTTGTCATTTTACAGATGAAGAAATGTTCAGAGAGGCTAGTTTACTTAGATTAAAGAGCAGAGCCCAGATTAGAACTCAAGAAAAAACCCTTACAAAGTGTTGTTAAAGACTTATTTCTATACAAAGTTGAGAGGAAAAAGTCAACCAATCCATGTTTCAGCAAACAGCCTCCATACAAACTCCCTGAGTTCCATGGGCCAAGTCAGGAGAGAGACACTGAAGTACTGGGCGTACTCGCTGATACCTCAAGATAATATACTGCACTTTCATTGACACACACTAGAAGTCATCAACTCCTTCAATATCCAGTGTACAAACAATCTAAAATGATGAGTAAATATAAGCAATTACTACCATCTTGGCAGAACTGGAAGCCTGAAATCCTAGCCCTGTCCCTGGGGTTTTCTCACTCTAACTCCATAACCCTATTCTCTGATCCCCGGGAGCTTCGCCAGAGGAAGGTGTAAAGTCAGACAAGATGGCATCCAGGGTTCTTTACAGTCCCAGTAACCTATACCCAAGGCTAAGCTGCAGTCCCGGTTAGTTCATTCTGTTGGGAGCTCCTTCAGCACCGTGTGCTGCAATATCACTCTGGTTTTGAC